ACAATAGAAACAGAAGGGACATTGCCAAACTTATTTTACCAGGCTACAATAACCTTGATACCCAAGAAACACAAAGACACAACTAAGAGAACTACAGACCAATATCCCTCATGAACATTGATGCAAAAATTCTCAGTGAAATACTGGCAAATCGAACCCAAGAACACATCAGAGAAATCATCCACCATCAACAAGTCGGCATCATCCCAGGGATGCAAGGATGGTTCAACATATGAAAATCCATCAAAGTAATCCACCTTATAAACAGACTGAGAGAAAAAAAAACACATGATCATCTCACTAGATGCTGAAAAAGCCTTTGACAAAATCCAACACCCCTTCATGATAAATGTCGTGGAGAAATCAGGGATAACAGGAACATACCTCAACATAATAAAAGCAATATACAGCAAGCCAACGGCAAACATCAAATTAAATGGAAAGAAACTCAATGCAATTCCCGTAAAATCTGGGACAAGACAAGACTATCCACTCTTTCCATACCTCTTCAATATTGTCCTTGAGGTTCTAGCTAGAGCAATAAGACCAACAAAAGGATGTCAAGGGAATACAAATCAGAAAGGAAGAAGACAATCTTACTATTTGCAGATGATATGATAGTCTACATAAGTGACCCCGAAAAACTACCAGGGAACTCCTACAGCTGATAAACACCTTCAGCAAAGTGGAAGGATACAAGATTAACTCAAAAAAATCTGTAGCCCTACTATATACCGATGACTCATTGGTGGAGAAAGAAATCAGAGAAACATCACCCTTTACAATTGCCACAAACAACATAAAATACCTTGGGGTAACACTAACCAAACAAGTGAAAGACCAGTACCATAAGAATTTTGAGTCTCTAAAGAAAGAACTTAAAGAAAATACCAGACAATGGAAAGATCTCCCATGTTCTTAGATAGGTAGGATCAACATAGTAAAAATGAGAATCTTGCCAAAAGCAATCTACAGATTCAATGCAATCTCCATCAAAATCCCTACACAATTCTTCACCTACCTTGAAAAAATAATTCTCAACTTTATATGGAGAAACAAATGATGCAGGATAGCCAAAACAACCCTGTACAATAAAGGAACTTCTGGAGGC